CGCGCCCCTCCCAGCCCGCGGCCTCCGGGGCTGAGCTGGGCCGCGAGGCGGACAAAGCGTTTCCCGCTCCCTCCCCCACGGTCGCGTCCCAGAAGGGAGGGGGAGGGCGGGCTGGAGGAAGAGGAGGGGAGGAGGAAAGGGAGGAGGGCGGTGCTGCCGGCGGGACTGGGCAGGATCGCGGCGAGCAGGGAAGGGAAGGAGGAGGGGCTGGGCGGCCTCGGAGAACGGGGAGGAGGGCAGGATTCTTGAAGCCCAAGATAAACAAATTGTTCCTCTTCACGTGCAGGGCGGGGGAGGTGGAGAGGGTGGGGAGCGAGCGCAGCGGCCTCGCCTCTTCCCCTCCCCCAAGCCGGCTCTTTGTCACCGAGCGCCCGGCGCAAGCCCGCGGCGGCACCGCACTACCCCCGGCGCCGATGACTCCCGACCACGGACGTGCGCGATTATCCACCGCACACCGCGAGGGCCGCCCGCGCCGGGCCCTGCGCCGCCGATCGCGGTGCGGTGTGCCAGGAGAACGGGCGAAGGCGCTCGGCGCTCGCCGATTCCCACCGCCCGCCGACCCCGCACAGACGCGTCGCACTGACTCGGGCGGAGGTTGGGGGGAGGGGGCTGCAGACACCTTTCCCAAGCTTCCGGCCTCCCCCCACCCCGAAAGGAAAGTAGAAGAACCGGAGAGAGGAGATAAGAGAAAGGATTCTACCCTCAGGGTTACGGGGTGGGAACTGCCCCTTCCTCTCCGAGAAGTTAAGCCATTGGCTGCTCAGCCTACCTCGAACCCACCCACCCAGCCATTTAAGCCTGTTTCAGCTCTTTGCTACCATCCACTCCTCCGGGCTGATTAGATGGGGCTAGAAAGTTGGCGGGGAGTGGGGCGGGGGCGAAAGGGAGACGACTCGGTGCACGCAAGTTTAAGAGGAGGAGGGGACACGATCCCCAGTGAAGTTGCGTGGCGGGCTCGGCGCAGGCCGAGGGCGCAGCTCTCCCCTCCCACCCCCGCCGGCCGCTCCCCCCTCGACCCTCCCGCCGCTCCACCTGCCGAGCCGGCCCCGGGTCTCCAGCGGCGGAGGAGCGCACACGCGCCCCGCATCCGCGCGCGCTCCCGCGAACGAGCGCGCGGAGCCACCCTCGCTCGCTTCTCATCCACTTCAAAGTTCATTCACAAAACTCTCAGACTTTCTCAGCCCAAAGGGGGGTGAGCCTGGGAGAGGAGGCGAGAACCTCCTGCTTCTCCCTCCTCCCTCGGGGGGATGAGGGCCCGGTGCCCGCCCAGAATCTGCGACAGCATCAATTTCACCCCCGCACCCGGCGGATGTGCGGAGAGGGGTGGGCGAGAGGGAACGCGTCTGGGGACGCAAGGCAGCACCGAGAAGGGTGGGGTGGGGTGGGAGTGGTGAAGAGGAGGAGCGAGGTTCCAACTCTGGGTTCACTCTTTTTCAAATCAGTCTCTAAGAAAGGGAGAGGGGGAAAAAAACTTTTCCAGTGCCTCTCTCTGCCGCTCCTCCGGGCTCCCTCCGCCCCTCGCAGTCGTGACTGGCTTCTCCCCTCTCGCCCCCTCTTCCCCCAAATTTGACAACCGTTGACAGATTAACAGGTAGCGGCGACGGCAGCTCTTCCCTCCGAAAAGTTGACGTTAACCCTTCGGCTTCAACCCACCTCACTCACCGTGCAAATCAGACCCCTGTCCCCCATGTAAGAAGCTCCACGCCCCCCACCCCCAACGCGCGCGCGCCCTCACCATGATCAGCGTGTGGTTCCTCTGCTCCGCCGAGGCAGCCTCCGCATCTTGCTGGGGTTTGCTCTGGTGCTGCTGCTTGCCGGTGCCGGCGCCGGATTTCTTGGCCCTCTGCTCCAGGGTGCGCTGATAGAGGCTCACGGTGTCCCGGCGCTCCAGCTCCAGCTGCTCCACCTGAGCCTGCTGGTACCTGTTCTCGCAGTTGACGTGGTGCCGCCGGCAGCCCTCGATGCGCTGGCGGAGCCGCTCCACCACGGTGCTGTGCTTGGGAACCGCCGCCGAGGCACCCCCGGGGCCCGCGGAGCCGCCGCCGCCGCAGCCGGCAGCGGGGTGATTGCTACTCGGAGCAGCTGGAGTACTATTGGGAGTATTATTCACAGCGATCCCGGCCCCGCCGAGGCTGCTGTTCAGGCTACTGTTGATGCAAATACTACTGCCATTCGCGGCAGCAGCGGGGGCTGCGAAATCCCCCATCCTGCTCCCCGGGCACACTATTTTGGAAGAACTTTTTTTATCCACCTCCCTATCAGCCTCCTCCTTGGGTCCAAGGATTAAAATAGTTTAAGTGGAACGCGGGGGAGACGCAAGCACATGGATGGAAACAGCGATCCCGACGGGGCGAAAAAAAAAGGGGGAGAGATTTGGGGGTGGGTTTTTTTTTGTTTCCCTTTTTCTTTTAAACTGTAAAGCTCAAGGAGAAAAAAGGGGGGATCAGAATGCCATCAGACACCTATCAACAAAAAGAATCAACAAACTGAGCCAGCAGCAAATCGGGTTGCAACTCAAGGGGAGATCCGCTCCTCGCCTGCCTTCTTTTTATAATCCATTATTTTCTAATAAATTCCAGGAGATTTCCGGTGGTTGGCAAGCATTTTCTCCCTACGTACCGAAAAACACACCCCATGTACACACACAAGCATATGCCTCCAGTGCGGACACGCGCGACACACACTCACTCCACACCGCATCGGAAAACGGCAAGCTTGCTTATTGCATTTTCCTTCCACAAAAAAGTTTTGGTGTTTATGCCGCCCCGTGTTCTCAAAGTACTTTGGCTGCTCAGTTGCATTTCACAGGAACCTAGATATCGAATCCTCGGGCTGGGGGAAGTAAACACATGGACAGTCCGAGGCGACTGCAAAAGTAGATCGGTGAAGTCCTTTGCAAAACGCCGCGCGGAGAGCAGCCCCTAACGCTCGGCTGGGCTGCCGCTGCCGCCGCTGCTCCTGCCACCATCACAATGATCAACTGCTCGCCGCCGCCGCCGCCTCCTCCTCCTCCTCTCGCTCCTCCACCTCCTCCTCCTCCTCCATGCCAGCGGAGTGATATCAGGACGCGCGAGCTCAGTAAACACGGCAGCGGCGGCGGCTGGAGGCCGTGAGACAAGCCCCGGGACACGGCGCAAAACCCGGCCCGGACTCTCACCCGGCAGGAGCGGGCGCGGCACGCACCAGCACCCGGCTCCCTCCTCCCTCGCCTCGCGCTCCCCGCCCCTCCCACGCCCCCAAGCTCACTACTAGCCAGACTGGCAAGCCGGAGCTGCCAGAAAAGAGAAAAAGGAAGATTCTGGGGGATCTCGGGAATGAATCAACTTTTGAACTGGGGTGTGTGTGCGTGTGTGTGTGTGTGTGTGTGTGTGCGCGTGTGTGTCCGCGTGCGTGCGCGCGCGCGCGCGCGGGAGTGGGGGGTGGGGGAGGCACATGGAAGCGCCTAGCTGGATTTCCCTATTCCAAGAGAGGTATCAAGCAAGCCCAAGTTGTTGTTATACATTTATGCATTATATTGCAGAACTGTGCATGACCAGGCAGAAACATTGAAGCTTCACAGCAGTTTTCTGTCATCCCTATCCATGTGGAAAGAAAAAGGCAAATGAATGACTTGTTTTTAAAACCCAGGTAATAAGTCTTCGCTAGTAATAACCCTGTTTATGGACACTTGTTCAAACCGTGGGCCAGTCTTAACACACAAATGCTGAATTCTGAACAAAAATGGGCACCAAAAATCTTGGAATATTATTTAATTCCCTATACATAATGATTGTTATTAAGGCAATTATTGTTTTACTTACCTTTGGAAAAAAATTAAAGCAAGCGGGGACTTGGAGGTGAGACCAACAGGACATTTTAACACTGTTTTGAACACTAGGTGCTAATGACAGCAGTAATTAAGGGTCCTTCCTAAATCAAGTGGAAAGATCGCAGATTTCACGCACCAGAACTATAGGAAAAACAAAGCATTTCACAGTTTGTCATGACCGAAACAAAAACAAGCAAAAATAACAGGCTTACTTTATTGCTAGATATATTTCTTTCTGTTTAACTGAATTCACAAGTACAATTAAAATGGAATAGCGACCACAGCGAACAATCTAAACTCTTCAGCTTTCCAGATAGTGACTTAAAAAACAACAATAACAACAATTAAGGAGCAGATATAATATCCTTCTATCTGAACTTAATCGGTTGCAAATTTTTTAAAAAATTAAAATGGAGAAACATTTCTGTGATCATCAGTAGAACAAAATCTTGATTGTGTGCTGTTAATAATAAGGCATTTTGTATTATCTCAATAAATGTTACAGAATTAGTTTTTAGGGTAAAAATACACCCCAGTTTTCTAAAATAGCCAGGAATAAAAGAACTTTGGATCTCATGCATTAGTCATGAGATCTGATTTAAACCATCTTCATTTCTTGGCATTGCAGATTAGCATTGGATGCTATTTCTAACCTCATAATGTCAGCATTAAGAAGCTATATTTTTCTTCAATTAATCAGGTCTATATGGTGAACTATTATCTTTAACATCCACTGGATTACATGGTAAAATGGGCAGCGAAATATTGATTAACATGGTGTGAGGTTACCTCTTAGTAGAGAAACTAGTGTGAGAGAGTATCTTTCATCAAAGTTGCCATACTTTTTCAGAGGGTTAGTTGACATATAATTTTCTGTATCGCCACTGCCCCTCCAAGTATGTTAGAAAATTAAACTGAATTAGTTTAATAGCAAGAAGTCGGATTAGATCATAAAAATAGAGAAAATTATAAAAAATTGTGACTTCGCCAAGTGACCTTTGTGAAGTCACAGTATTCACTAAATAATATCTCTATTAATTCAGGAAATACGTGGCTTCCCCATAAAGAGTAGGTCTGCATTCAGTCTGCTCTCTCATCACTATACTTTGATTCTTATCCCTCCTCCTACCCGTCGTGCCTACATCACCCACACAAGACAATGATTTGATTTACAGAGGCAGCAAGTTTGAGGGTCTTGAACACCGGGTCTTCAGTTTTGAGACTTGGGTTCTAATTCTAGCTTTTTCATTTGACTGACTTTAATTTTTCATTGAGAGTTTGCCATTCTGGAAAAAAAAATAATACAACGATAGTAGCAATATTCATTCCCATCAAGCTGTTTGCCTCTCCTATCATAAAGAGTGACCAAAAATACACAAGAATAAGAATTTGCATCCTTCTCATTGGGGGACCAGCGGGCAGAGGAGCACATTCAATGGCTTTACCCCAGAGCTCCCCAATGATAAATGGAACTATTCTTGCACAACCACAGGATAGTTTGCTGCCCGAGGTGAGTGCATGAGTAGACCCTACAGAAAAGAAAGGTTGGCTGTTCATGGGTATACACACACACAGGAACCCATCTTTTACCTCATCAAGAGGGTAGGAGTGGCCACAAGCTCCAAGACCAAAACTTGGGGACAGGAAGGACTGTAAAACTGTGTGGTGATCTGCGCAGTACTCTGCTGTGACGTACAGAAACCCCATCCTAATTGTGCAGGATTAGAAGAGAGAAGCAGGAAATGGACGAGACTTGGGGCTTCTGCAGCATAGGCCAGTCACCCTGAATTTGAAAGGGTCTACTCCAGTGACCTTAGAAGAAGGTCAGAAGCCTTTACACACCGGCTACTTCCAGACTCTCATGATATATTCCTGTAAGGCTGCCAGCTTTGTTGGTCACCATACTAAAGAATACCTTGAAAGTCATAGAGAGGTCCAAGTTCTGGGGAAGCAATTTTAGCCTCTTCTCCCTATCAAGTGCTGTGATACCATGACCATCCGTGAGTCTGCTGTGGAGCAAAACTTCCAGATCAGAGCTAGAGGCACATCAGCAGTGCTCTGGAATGGCAAAGAAATCTGAGGTGCCATAGCAGCGATGAGAAAGAAATTACGTAGGTGAATCCCTGCCTAGACTTTGATGATACCTCTCTGGTTGCCACAGAGAAGAAGGACTTGATGAATAAGTACCTGTCTCAGGTTGTCCTGAGGCTCTGGCTCCGGGCCAAAGTTGGCAGTACTAAGGAGTTGAACTAGATTCTCTTTAAGCCAACTCTGCATCATCCTCCCATGTCCATATGTTAGGGCCCAGGGTCCCAGTGTTATGAAAAAGGTCTTTGTATAGAAATTTCAGCGGATGAGCCACTTCTGCTTCCCTATTAATGTGGATCAAGAGAACTAGGTTCATAATTGTACCCTAAGATACTTGGTGACTAAGATAGGGTAGGAACCCTTTGCTACCAACGTACAGGTAAGCAAACCTTTATATACGCCCACAGAGTGGGCCCAGGCAGTTCTGATTTACTAGCAGCAGCGGGGTGTGCCCTTAACTGTCTATAATAATTCCACAAAAATAGTTATGGCCTTCTGTGTGCCAGGCACCCGTGGTAGGCACAGGGAGTATAACAAAACAGCATGTAGAACACAGCCCTGATCTAAAACGATGGCCAGCCAGACTCGGGATAGGGTATGCAGTGATGGGACTAAGATGGAGTGTGTATGGGAACACATAAAAGGAGCGCGGAGTGCATGCTTGGAGGTCTAAGAAGGCTTCTCCAGAACTCACTCTGAAAACTGGGTAAAAGTAAGCCAAGCGAAGGTTGGGGAGCTAGGAAGCAGCCAGAGCAAGGCCCTGAGGCCTGTTGTTCCAACAGATCCACAGGAAGGTTTCCTCTCACATGGGTGTGAGTGTGAGAGGGTGTGAAAAGAAATGAGGCCGAGGCTGGGGAGACAAGCAGGAGCCAGATCCTTCAAGGCTGTCCAGAAAGTTTAGACTATGTCTTTGGGACAATGCTGCCATTGAAAGGACTAAAGCTGATTTATACACTTTTTACTTTGACAATGCAGAGATGTATTCTAATATTTTCTAGAAAGGCTTCTGAGCCAATTAAGTTGAGAAAATGATCTGTGCCACATCTCTCTCTCTCTCTCTCTCTCTCTCTCTCAAAGATTCATTATCACATTGAAGGCCACAAGAAATCTTGAAGCAAAGCATGTTTAACTTTCTTTAACCTAGCATTGCCCAAATCCTGTTATGTCCCACAGAATGAAACACACTATAGAAAGCTCAGCGTAGGAGAGAAAAAAATTCGAAGGCAGTTGTAAATCCACTTACGTTCACAACCATTGCCTGGGCAGGAGCCTGTGACGAAGAACACACTCCCCTGACCATCTGCTCTGCCTAAGTGCCAGAATCACTAACTAGCACCTGGGGCTCAGGGCCGTTCCCTAACCTTAACTGGGTGTGTTGAATTGTGATCTTTAAGTAGTGGGAAAGCAACACAGAGGCAAAAATCCCAGAAGAATGAATTTGACCAGCCTTTTTGACATCGGTACTTTGAGTATGTTGTATTAATATCTATCTCTGTGTAGTAAAACTTCTTTATTAGGGGGGAAAGGTCAGATTTATTTAACTGAAAATCTTAATTATCTAATATCTTTAAAGATGTAGAGTTTCATTACTTTTGAAGCATGTACTCTGTCTACTATAACTGGCCTCTTGGAGCTATTTTAATGAGCTCCTTCTACCCTAGTAAACGAACTGATCATAGGTGACATCCCCTGTGGACCACGAGTGTTTCAAAAGTTTGTTTCCTTAAGTATTTAAATATTCCTAACAAGGCCCTGTTTACATTATTAATTTTCACTTTTTATTAAGAAGGGGTTTACTGAGCTCTAGACCATGTCATAAATTTTGAGAGGAATATGAATTAATAGAGTTTATTTTCTCGTTCACGTATTTTAATATATATATGTAATCGTTTTGTGGTGATTAGGACAAAGGTTATCTAAAGTCCACGGTAGACAAATTTTTTAAAAGCCGTTCGTTCTGTTTCACATAAACCTCTGCTCTCAGTGCTAAATAATTTGATATAATGAGGCATCTGCCTTGAACAAGGTCTGGCTTCCATGTTAGATGTTTAAGACTTCTAAAATTTGGGGGAAATATTTATAAAGTCTTTGATTTACTGGAAGCATATCAGCAGGCAAACTGTTACCTTTAGAAACAATGATTTAATATATAATCAAAGAACTGAATAAATT